AATATATACAATGTTTAAGAAATATTACTTCATAATTATGCACTTAATTTTTTATTATCTGTATATATTTATATAACAGTATATGTAAATATATCAAATATATAAATTATTTCAGGGATAAAATTACATTGTTTTATTCCAATGCACATTCTGATGTTATTTTGTAGCTGAACACATTAGAATTTGACCTCTCAAGGCCTTTAAACTGGACTATTTCAGGCACCTATAAAAAGCCCAACGCTGTAGTCCACATGTTCTCATCTCTCTGGGCACAGAGCTAAATCTCACTACAACACGAGCAGTCAGTCAGTCAGTCATCACACAAAAGCTGTCAGATTAACGTGAGAAAGAGAGAAGGTGCCCTCTAAACAGCTGCTCCATCAGCCACAGATTACATATTAATGGCTGCAGCAGAAACATTGCTGTTTCCCATTGATGTCATGATGTCATTTTCCTGCACTGGATGGCTTCTTTTCTCAATATTAGATGATTTTGAGTAGAGTAACATTTTGATATGTACAGTCATATATGTGAATGTTGAACTGTGAGGAGAAAATGAAATGTGTAACCTGGTCTCTCTATATTTTATATTATATCCTTTGAATTGAAATAGTAAGAAAGCACCTAGCAACTGCATAGCAATATCTTGACTTTAGCATGACCAGACGATGCTCCTTCAAACCTCAGGACATTTCACTGAGCTCGCAGTTGTATTTGATTCTAGTATAAATTTTGTCCTGCATTGTTTACAATTACAGTCTCATAAGTCAATAGTTGTTACAATAGTAGTTCCAGTAAGGCAAGGACGTAAAAATGTAGGGACGCTAGGGACAAGTCCCTACCAATATCCAGCGACTACTACAATAATTATGATCAAACAATTAAATATAGGCCTATGTAACCACTGTTGTAATTTCAGCCGCATCTGAAATAGGTCGTACCACTGATGTTACCTGAGAAGTTAAAGTAAATATGCTAGAAAACCACACGCTAAGAACATATAAGGGAGCAGAAGTGTTTAAAACATACAGGTACAGCTCAGCTGAATGATAAAGTTTACCCTCTTTAACTGTTGTTAAACTGAATGTAATGATGACAAAATCTCGTTTGTGTTATATTTACAGTATGCATTGTAATTGTACTCCATGCATTTGTATGTTTAAATGATGTTGAGGAACATGCATGAATATGGCTAAGAATCAGGATATAAGATTAAAGCTATACATTTAAATAGGAAAAAAGTAGTTGAGTCGACTTAAAATATTAAAGCAACCAAGCTTTCTTGAGTTTACTGATCTTCAGGAATAAATTTGACTTAGTCAAACTTTAAAAAATGAGTTGGCACAACTTGTGTATTCCTACTATACTACAGTAGTACACTATAGTAGATCACTCAACTTAAACCAGTAGTTTTAGTGAACTTTCATATATGATTTGGCACAGCTTCATCCACTGAAGCTGAATAAACTCAAAAATGCTTTGCAGCTGCTTGCTTTATTTTTTTAAGTTAACTCAACTTTTTATTTTTTATAGTGAATTGACACCAATTTTTGGTCATTGCAGCAGCAGGTCGAGTGTTTGTGTCGGATATAAACACACTTGCAAACAAAAGAGTAATTTACCTAAACAACAGAACAGCAAAAGCTAAGTTCTTATGTGCATTAGCTGGTAAAATTTAACCTAAAACACTATTTCAATGCTTGCTGTAAATCCGTTTTTCCCCCCCATGTTCCATGAGCATTTTACGCATTCTTCAGTAAAAGATTCAAAGCCAGGAGCAAAACGTCTATGGGGAGCAACTTCGACGTGATCGGTGTCTGAAGCACATGTGTCAACACAACAATAACATTGGCCTGTGATGTCACTACCAGCGCGACCACAGTATGAAAGGATGCCGGGAAAATACGTCATCAGCTTGCATCTGAAGCATGGCAAGAAAGAGGATGCAGTGTCTTGTTGACTTCTCAGGGAACCATGGTTACATGCGTAACCTGAGATCAGGGGTGGATTTAGTGATTTGGGGCCCCAGGCAAAACATATGAATGGGGCCCTATTTATTTGCACACATTTACAAATGTAGCCTTGAGGTTCCTTTTCTGTTGTGATGCTTGCTGCTGCGTAATGGTGCCCCACAGTTGTCTCCAATGTTTCTACATTTTTCATGTAAATTTTATAATGGCTTTCTTTCATGTTGTAGACCACGAAATCGTAATTGATTTACAGTTTTCACAAAATAAATAATAAAATGATAAATCTCACAATTGAGCCTTTAAAGCATTTTTTAAGAATAGAGAGTCGGAAGTATAAATTATGATATTAATTTAAAACAGGGTTAAGAGGGTGGATTTTCTCATTGGTTTACAGCTTCAGATACATGATATTTTCATTTGCTACAAGCAGGATACATGAGAAGTGAGTTCAACTTGGTCACGCAGACGGTTGTCATGGTGATAAACACCATAAAAAGCAACTGTCGCATGTCCGTGCTTAGTGCACATCTCGTAGATGAAAAGCATTTTAAGGGGCCCTGGGCTTTTGGGGGCCCAAGGCGGTTGTCTGCCTTTGCCTAATGGGTATGTCCACCTTTGCCTGAGATGTTCCCTTATGAGGTAACTCGAACCGCGTCCACTAGCGGTCGCTATGGGGAACGAAATACCTATGCTGCCATGCTGAGGGGAATGCATGCCAAGTACCAAGGCGAGCACTAAGCACCAACTCAAGTCAAAGGAGCTGCCCCTAGGAAGTTTGACAGCTGTCAGTGACATAACCTGCTTGAGCTGTGCACCAAACTTACCTGTAAGGGCTGGCTTGTATAAAACCCGAGCCCAGGGCAAAGCTCAAGCTTGGAATCAAAAATAACCAAGGATTCCTTTAAGGGGATAAGGCAGAGTATCAGGGCTGCTTACAAACCCATATCCTGGCCTGTCAAACAGAGACTACCTCCTGCTCTAAGAACGAGCTACCGAGGATCTCAAGATACCCAGGGAAACTTAGTAGTAACACCCTGTCTAGAAAGTGAATATGCGGAGAGTGGGGCCCAAGGTAACCGGGGCCAGAGCCAACTTAGAGAAAGGAGACAAGGCAACAACGCGTCACCCTTACCATAAAGGCTTTTAAGAAGGTGCACAAAGGCTGGCGTGTGCACCTGCCATGAATATAGACTTAAAAAGTGCACATAGAACTAGCGTGAGCACTTACCATAGATACGGATTAGAAATACCGTAATGAACCAAGGAGCCCAAGGTGAAAACCGGGGCCTAACCAACTCATAGAATGGGAACGAGGCTACAGCACGTAACCCTTACCATACAGGATTTTAGAAAGTGCGCAAAATTCCTAGCGTGCACACTTACCACAATGTGGACTTTAGAAAGTGCACAGAAGCTGAGCGTGTGCACTTACCATAGAATGGATTTAGAAACACCGTTACTAAAGGGTAACCAAGAACCTGTCCCCTAGACAGGCCTAGACCCTACGTGACTGTGGCCCGCTCAAGGAGTGACAATAATTCAGCGGGAGGCCGCATGCTCAGAGTGCATGTAGAGCCAAAAAAGTCACACCTCAAACTGGGAGCAGGGTCCTCATAGGTGACCCTCTAAGTAAGGGGAGCACTGCTAAGCTTGACCAACAAAAAGAGCAGCCTAACATGGAGGCCGAAGGAGGCCTAACAACCTGAGGCTGCTGGTCAATGGA